TACATATATATATATATATATATATATATATATATATATATATATATATATATATATATATATATATATTATTATTATTATTGAATTTCCCTCGCCCAGAGCAAATGCGTGACTGTCGTTTGTGTGTGACCATCTTACTAGCCAATTGAGTGAGCACACTTTCATTCTGCCCAATCAGAATCACACAACTAAACTATGCGCAACGCCCACAATAAAAAGAAGACAAATAGGAAAGCGCGAACAAGCGTGATGATGGCGTCTGCCGCTTCAGACGCCACAGACGTTGAACAAAAACTGTCGCAGAATTGTTCCCACGATTTACAGATTATTGATCTGAATCTCGGCTACAAAATTAAATCGCAAATCAAATCGCACAGCCCTAATCTATTATCAGCATCAAGACATGTTGAAATGAGTCTGAATTTACAAAGAAATGTTGATTAAATCATTGCATCAACATCCAAGACCAAGGTGAAATTACAGCAGACACTGGAACAGAAACTCAAGCATCCAGCTGTCTGAAGAGTCGAGAAGATGCCTGATGTTCAGTGTCAGTTTGCAGATTAGTATTGAAGAGTCTTGTGGATTGAAATCACATGATATTCTGCTTCAGGAGCATTTTATTGAGAAACATTAACAACATGATGATAATAAAGAGCTTTTGAACATATCTCTAGTCAAATGTCTGTTCTTGATGATGGATACACGATGCCTGATGGAGAAAAACAAACACAGTGCTGATGTTATATTTCTGTCTAATGCTTGCAAGAACATTACTACAACACTCATAAATACATTAGCATTAATAAATCATGAACCAGATAATGTCTGGGAACTTTAATCATAACATCTGTGTGTGTGATGTATAATGCACAGTTCTACATGTAAGAAGATGGAGGTCAGTAATGTGCTGGATGTGTGTGATGATGGTATGAAGCAGCGGTGTCAAAACTTGAATGAAAAGCAAAACTAAATTTTACTAACGACATTGTGTCAACGGTTGAAATGTAAAATATCTAGATAATTGTTGTAATATATTAGATTTTATTCATCAATAATCTAATTTACATGGTCGACTCTTAATCAGAGGATTGTCTATTATTGGTGTCCATGTAAACGTAGTCGATGTTAGTGCTGTTTTCTGCATGTCGGGGCACTTACTGTCTCTGGAAATCTCAGATTTTCTCTAAAACGTCTTCATTTTTACTCAGAGGATGAACTCAGGTGTTTACACGGGTGTAAAGAGACAACTTGCTATTAATCTTAATAACTTTAACAATACTTTAATAATTAAAAAACATGACAAATCCTCCAGATATAAATGTGACATATGGCAATATATGCAAATCACTTTTATTTAACATATAAAAATAAACATGTACATATATTCACCATAAATATTACAAAACACTGCATAAACAGCAGCTTACACACTCAGCAAAGTTACAATACACTCTTGCTCAACTATGATTATGTACATAGTGAATTCAGTTTCAACTGGAAGTACACCGACATACTAAAATTAAAGTCTCAGCAACTTCAGATTCATGGCAACTTTAAAGTCCGTGTGTGTAACGCCTGTCGGTCCCACTGCACCCAACCTGCTCTGAGCTGGCATCAAACCGACGATTCTTTGTATGGGAGTCGGTTGCTCTAACAAGGAGGCTAAAGACCATGGCCTCTAGCATCTGTCACTAGAGCACCTTCAGAGGACAGAAGTGAGGTTTACCTGCACAGCACTTACTAGCCAGCCTCCATTAGACGTAAACCGAAAGTTTAGATTGCCGTTTCCCCCCCCCCCCCCCCTAAAAAAACCTGATAGCCCCACCCTAAAGCACTGGTGACCACGCCCTAAAGAGTATTAGCCCCGCCCCAAAACACTGATGACCACGCCCTAAAGAATAATAGCCCCGCCCCAAAACACTGATGGCCCCACCCTAAAGAATAATAGCCCCGCCCTAAAGCACTGATGGCCCCATCCTAAGGAATAATAGCCCCGCCCTAAAGCACTGATGGCCCCCCTAAATGATAGCCCTGCCCTAAAGCACTGATGACCACGCCCTAAAGAATAATAGCCCCGCCCTAAAGCACTGATGACCACGCCCTAAAGAATAATAGCCCTGCCCTAAAGCACTGATTGCCCCCCTAAATAATGATAACCCTGCCCTAAAGCACTGATGGCCCCACCCTAAAGAATAATAGCCTGCCCTAAAGCACTGATGGCCCCACCCTAAAGAATAATAGCCCCACCCTTAAGAATAATAGCCCCGCCCTAAAGCACTGATAGGCCCACCCTAAAGAATAATAGCCCCGCCCTAAAACACTGATGGCCCCCCTAAATAATGATAGCCCTGCCCTAAAGCACTGATGGTCCCACTCTAAAGAATAATAGCCCCGCCCTAAAGCACTGATGGCCCCACCCTAAAAAATAATAGCCCTGCCCTAAAGCACTGATGGCCCCACCCTAAAGAATAATAGCCTCGCCCTAAAGCACTGATGGCCCCACCCTAAAGAATAATAGCCTCGCCCTAAAGCACTGATGATCCCACCCTAAAGAATAATAGCCCCGCCCTAAAGCACTGATGGCCCCACCCTAAAGAATAATAGCCCCGCCCTAAATCACTGATGGCACCCCTAAATAATGATAGCCCTGCCCTAAAGCAATGATGGCCCCACCCTAAAGAATAATAGCCCCGCCCTAAATCACTGATGGCACCCCTAAATAATGATAGCCCTGCCCTAAAGCAATGATGGCCCCACCCTAAAGAATAATAGCCCCGCCCTAAATCACTGATGGCACCCCTAAATAATGATAGCCCTGCCCTAAAGCAATGATGGCCCCACCCTTAAGAATAATAGCCCGCCCTAAAGCACTGATGGCCCCACCCTAAAGAATAATAACCCCGCTCTAAAGCACTGATGGCCCCACCCTAAAGAATGATAGTCCCGCCCTAAGGCACTGATGGCCCCACCCTAAAGAATAATAGCCCCGCCCTAAAGCACTGATGGCCCCCCTAAATAATGATAGCCCTCCCCTAAGGCACTGATGGCCCCACCCTAAAGAATAATAGCCCCGCCCTAAAGCACTGATGGCCCCCCTAAATAATGATAGCCCTGCCCTAAAGCACTGATGGCCCCCCTAAATAATGATAGCCCTCCCCTAAGGCACTGATGGCCCCACCCTAAAGAATAATAGCCCCGCCCTAAAGCACTGATGGCCCCCCTATAAATTGATAGCACTGCCCGAAAGCACTGATGGCCCCACCCGAAAGAATAATAGCCCCGCCCTAAAGCACTGATGGCCCCACCCTAAAGAATAATAGCCCCGCCCTAAAGCACTGATGGCCCCCCTAAATAATGATAGCCCTGCCCTAAAGCACTGATGGCCTCACCCTACAGAATGGTAGTCCCACCCCAAAGCACTAACAGCCCCACCCTAAAGAATAATAACCCCGCCCTAAAGCACTGATGGCCCCACCCTAAAGAATGATAGTCCCACCCCAAAGCACTAATAGCCCCACCCTTAAGAATAATAGCCTCGCCCTAAAGCACTGATGGCCCTACCCTAAGGAATAATAGCCCCGCCCTAAAGCACTGATTGCCCCCCTAAATATTGATAGCCCTCCCCTAAGGCACTGATGGCCCCACCATAAAGAATAATAGCCCCGCCCTAAAGCACTGATGGCCCCCCTATAAATTGATAGCCCTGCCCTAAAGCACTGATGGCCCCACCCTAAAGAATGATAGTCCCACCCCAAAGCACTAATAGCCCCACCCTAAAGAATAATAACCCCGCCCTAAAGCACAGATGGCCCCACCCTAAAGAATAGTAGCCCCACCCTAAAGCACTGCTAGCCCCACCCTAACCACCCTAAAGGTATTCCATGTGACCAGTTGAAGAACTTGTTTCAAGGAGAAATGGAGGTTTTGGTCTTTGATTACAATTTATGAGGGCAAATTCATTCTTACAAACAATTGAAGTGCACGGATACACCGTTTATAACTAGCACTGCTATATACATATGAAAATAAGAAGAGTACATTCAGATTTGATGGTTTCTGTCTTGTTCTTTCCACACTATGGGTCGTTGTTCCACACTGAAGGTTTTCCCTGCGCTGTGAATCCTCCAGTGTCTTTTCAGGCTGATTTTCTGCCTGAAGCTCAGTCCACACTGTGTGCAGGTGAAGGGGCTCTCTCCCGTGTGGACCCTCATGTGCACTTTAAGGTTCCCCTGCAGGTTGAAGCTCTTCCCGCACTGTTGGCAGGTGAAGGGTTTCTCTCCGGTGTGAACCCTCATGTGCACCTTCAGGCCGCCGTCCTGGTGGAAGCTCTTCCCGCACTGCTGGCAGATGTAGGGCTTCTCTCCGGTGTGGATCCTGATGTGGTTCACAAAGTTCCCCCTCTGCTTGAAGCTCTTCCCACACTGCGGGCAGGTAAAGGGACTCTCTCCGGTGTGGACCCTCATGTGCACTTTGAGCTTTATGCGCAGGTAGAAGCTCTTGCCACACTGAGGGCAGGGGTAGGGTTTCTCTCCGCTGTGGATCCTCAGGTGGACCTTCAGGTTTCCATTCTTATTGAAGCTCTTTCCACACTGAGGACACGTGAACGGCTTCTCTCCAGTGTGAATTCTGAGGTGGTCTTTGAGCTTACCATGGTGAAGGAAGGTCTTTCCGCACTGGGAGCAGGTAAAACGAGCCTTTTCAGGTGGTTTTTCTACACCAGAGTTTTGACCATCCTGATCCTCCTCTTTAATTTCATTCAGATCTTCACACTCATCATTCAGCGAGGTCAGCTCTAAGGTGAGAAACAGAAGCAAATCAACATGTTTAGGAGATTTCACCTTCAGCAGTGCAGAACAGCATTTAAGATTGAAGGAATCTGGAGGAATTTCAGTGCATAACAATGGCGCAAGCCTAAGCTGAACAACCGTGACCTCCGATTTCCTTTAGGGGGCGCTGCATCAAGAATCCTCATTCATCTATAAGCCAGATCAGCACATGGGCTCAGGACTACTGCGGCAAACCTTTATCAAGTACCACAATACAGAGTCACATCCACAAATACCAGCGAAAGCTGCACAGTGCCAAAAAGAAGCCCTATGTTAACAGTGTCCAGAAGTGCCGTCGACTTCTCCTGGCTCAAAGGGATCTTTGATGGAGCATCACACAGTGGAAACGTGTACTGTGCTCAGATGAAGCAGTATCTCAGGTGTTTTTTTAGGGAGAAGTACGCTGTGTGCTCTGGACCAAAGAAGAAAAGGATCATCCAGACCGTTACCAGCAACAAGTCCAAAATCCAGGGTCTATCATGGTATGAGGTTGTGTCAGTGCAATGGCAAAGGTAACTTGCACTTCTGTGATGCTTCATTAATGCTGAAAAGCACACAGTTTGGAGCACAATATGCTGCTGAGGAGGAAGAGGATACAGGTGCTTGACTGGCCTGTCTGCAGTCCTGACCTGTCTCTAATACAGAATCTGTGGCGCATTTTGAATCCCAAATGCAACAGCGTAGACCTCATACTGTTGCTCATCTTAAGACTTGTTTGGGGCAAAATTACACCTGAACACTTCATCACCTGGTGTATTCAGTCCCTAAACATCTTTAAAAAACAATACAAGTCTTGAGGAGCATGTTTAATAAAGATTACCATGTTGTCTGCAACGAAATACAAGTCGAAGTAAATTTAGAAATCACTACTTTCTTTTTATATTTGCGTTCTCCATACTGTCCCAACTTCTGATTTGAGGCTGTATTAAATTTTTTAAATCAAACGTCTTACACAATACTACTGAATATCTGGCAACAAAGTCAAAATCTGTCAACAACAACCCCAAACCCCTCTCACAGGCCATAAGTGTGCAGAATAAATAGTAAAGCATCATTCGCTCTAGTTTAGTCACAAAGTCACTGGATGTTTCTCATCGTGTTCACATTTTCCACTCGAGATGAAACGTTGGAATTTGAGGAAGACGCAATTAATAGTTCATATTTCAAATGACAAAACAAGGTTATTTAGCTTGTTTCAAAGAAATACTCGCTTAATTTTGACTCAATATTTCTGAAAACAAGGCAATATTTTTGCTTTTCTAGAAAACGCATCTTAATTTAATAATTTTTAGACATTTAGACTAAATCTCTAAGAAAAATTGCATTTTCTTGCAGTAATGTGTTGGAAATCGGCCTGTAAAATGTTCATAAATGATCTTTACACTCACCTAAGCCACAAACCTCCTATTTAAAAAACAAGCAAAGTAATTCTGACTTATGTTATATATTAGGAGTTAATTGTTAATAGTTACCAGTTAAATGCTGCATATTTCATTTCGTTTGTTATTTTTGTAGATTTGAATGAAGATCAAATGACTAAGCTGTTCTTTGAGAATGAAAGCCAACCTGTTTGCTGCTCAGCATGTTTGACTGTGAATGTGTCTTCAATCTTCAGGTCTTCACTCTCCTCTTTAATAAAGGCCATCTTTATAATAGTGGAGCTCAGTCGCTTCAGCAGGAGTTTCTCTGTCTGTTTAAGAGGAGAAGAATCAACACAAACAAGAAGAAATCAACACTAAACCTCTGTCTGTGTCTCAATCAGTGGTCTAGTTCCCTTAAAAAACACTTGAAAATAGGAATAATAATAAAAAGATCATAAAAATAACACAGACATTAAATAGTTTACTATATTATTGCTATAATTTGGATTGGGCTTTCAGTAACTTGCTAATTTCTGTAAATATATTTAATGCAGTCATAATTGATCGCATTCAAAATAAACGTTTGTATTTTAGATAATGTATGCGTGTTTGTAAGTGTTTATGATGTATACATTCAAACATACAAACTACACAAACACATACAACTACATTATTTACTTTTGTATTATTTTAAAATATAATTCTTTAGGAATATTTCCGAATAATAAACAAACATATGTGAAAATACACACTTTTAAAAATCCTTAAATTGAGCTTTTTCCATATTTTGTGATTCATATTTTTTCATTTATTTATGTGATCTGGATCTTTTCTAACTACTTATAATATTGAAAAGTTTAATAAAGTGAATTTTTATTGATATTTTTAATAGATTAAAGTGATGTATGTCTAATAAATGTCGATTATAGTGCATCAAACAGGTAATAAACTGCATGTCAGTGCTACTTTCATTGATTTTATGTACTAAATTCTCCATACATATAATTTCTTAAACATTATATTATTTCAAATGATTACAATGTTAATAAATGTCACTTTGTTAAACTGCAGAGTTGAATTTAACACCAAACGTTGACATAGAAGAGATAAAAGTCGTATAAATGCAAATCATGACAGTAAATAAACCGAAAAAATGCAAATAAAATGATTCATTTATTTTATCTCATATATATATGAACTTTTATTTTGGATAACTTGTCTAGAAAACGCTTCTTGCTTTAAGAGTTTTTAGATATCTGGACTAGAAACGAAACTACTCAAAATATAATAATGTATTTACACTCTTTGGAGCAATCGTTTGAGTTATTGAATACATTTAGGACACATTTGACTCAGTTTACTCAGACATCGGCAGTTTCTCCATCATCATGTCTGGGTATCAGACTCACAGTAAACGCCGCTCATTAGCGCTGCTTCAGGAGTCACACTGTCGTATTAAACAGCAGGGAGTTCCCGTCACATCGCCTGTAAAATATATAAGCTGTCGGAAAGTTTATTCGAGTTAAATGCCTTAAAAACACACAACCTTCTTCAGCAGAATGACAGCTGAGACAGGAGCGCGGCGCACACTGATGACGTCAAGCGCCAGAACAAAACAAACGCTCGCGTGCACGCGGAAAACTAGTTGGTTTCGATTTAATTACTTTTTAAAATGAAGCTTACAATATCCATCGTTTGATTATACTCACTATAAGTTTTACATCTATCAATATAAATGTAGATTCAGAGGCATTTTATTCAGTAGACAAACAAAATGTGTATTTGTTAGATACGTTTGAGTTATTGCGAGTCAAACATATATACATAATAGAGTTACTGTTTGTCATATTTTTATTTATTATTTTTTTTTACTATTATTATTATGTATTATTACTATTTTTAAAGGTCACTGTTTAAAATCAGTTTATTATAAACCACATGCCCTGTATATATATCTTAAACGTAACAAACAAACACACATTTTGTTTGTAATTGCATTAAGTACCACTAAATAAAATGTTTCTGATTCTACATTTAGATTGATGAATTTGAAACTTACAGTGAATATAATCAAACGAAGGATATTGTAAGTTTCATTTTACGTTCGTTTAACTTCTTTTAATAGCCACAAAACTACATGTTTATACAATGAAAATTGGTTTGGCAGCACTTTATCATTTATAACATCCACCATAGTGTTTTTGTATGTTGACAATGCAATAAAATATGAGGTACTGACGCTCATGTTCGTGCTTTTATTTTGCCGTGGCGATGTGACGTCATATGAGTGTGCCGTGCGCCTGGTTTGTTGTGAATCTGCAAGGTGAGCGTTATAAAGTGTTTATATCGACACCCGCTATTCTTTCTGTTCTAAACAAACGATGTAGATTAAAATGTCTTTATGTAACTGTACAGGACGATATTTTGTCTGAATTAAATGAACAAATGTACATTATTATTTATATATATTTGGTTATTAGTTGATTATAATCATTCAATATTGGTATTCGGCTCGGTTCTGTCGAGGTCACAGCGTATGTTTAGGAGAGCTCAGTCATTTCCACGAGCTTAAAGAGATTTTCAATAAATACTGTAGTGGTTATGAGCTTGAATTCATCTGTTGTGGTGATTCTGGCAGTTTATAAGCTAACTCTGTAGCTCCACTATAAACAGATGACCCAATACTGTAGTGTTCTCCAAAACTATAGACCATTTCAGTGTGTTGATGATGCACATTTCCTGCTTGTTATTAAACTATTTCATAACTGTAATAATAACACAATGTTTAAACAGCTGCCATAGTGTTATTGGTCAACATGTGGCTCTTTTTGGATTCTCGGAAGCTTCAGAATTTAAGATTGGGAAAAAGCAAATACGCTGAGACCGTTGCTTTTGTTCCTTCAAAATGGTCTATATGGTATAATTACAGGTGTATCAGAAGCGGTGGCTCCTTTTTCTCAAAAAGTGGACGTTTTTGCAGTTATTTACCTTATTTTCTATTCAATTATGAGGTTTAAATCCTATGTTATAGTGATATTTTAAGCACTACTCTTTGCTGGATCAGCTTGTGAAATGATCAACATTTCCTACAGTTTTTGTCAAAATGCTCACCATACTATTTTACTACAAAGTATGTTTACAAATGTGCATCTAAACTGTAAGTTATTACAGCTTTATGAATAATGTTATAAGATAAGCATTTAATACAAACAAATAAAGATATGTGAAACAATGCTTAATTTTAAATACACTTTTTGAATCATCCATCATAAAAAAAAAGCAATCTGTTAAAACTTGTTTTGAATTAAAAACGCAACAGTCTATAGGCAAATAACAAACTCATTCAACTCTTCTCAGTCAGAATTTGGCCTTTTGAACAATTAAAAACGAACCTGTGAGTTATTTTCACAATTTATGATAGCATAGCAGTCAAAAATGAGACAAATGAGCTCACCTAGAGGCCAAATCCTGGACTTTGTTAGTGAGGATGGGTCTTTCGAACCACCTGAACACCCCACCGGCTACGGGCCTGTATTATACTACAATACACCACAGCTTACTGTAGTAAACCTAAAGCACACTACAGTATCTTTTGGCACTTGTCGACTTATATATGTCAACTTTACATACAACTTTACATGTGAGGCAGAATGAAAGTTTCTTTTGTTTAATAACTGCAGTCTCTGTATAACAGCACTGACATCTCAATCATTAAGAGATATTCAAGATGTAAACAGGCCGAATACAAAGAGCAACTAAGAAAAACAAACATGCTCCATTCCAAATAACACTCCTCTTGAAATGTTGAGGAGTAAATGTACAGCTGACGTCAACAGTTTAGCTCTCTTGTGAAATTTCTATCATTTTTACAATATTTTAAAAGATGAATATTTTCCTCAACACATTTTAAACATAACGGTTTTAATAAATAACTAAATACTCCGTAATTAACTCTGTCTTTGTCTTGAAGCCAGTACACAGTATTTGACTGTTTAATAAAGCAGCCTTTATAACATAATAATGCTTCATTCGTTTGCAGCAGTCGGCCTTCCTCTCAGCCAGCGTTTGCAGGACAAGAGCTGTGAGCCTTCACTCATACTGCAGTGTGCTATATACAGGGTGATTCAAAGAGAAAACCACAACTTTAATGATTGGTATTTCATCAAACAAACCTGATGAAAGCCGGGGTAATTAATCAATGTGAAGAGTACTGAGCAAAGTTTGTTTTCAGTACAAAACAAGTTCATAGATGTTCAATATGAGCCCTCCAGATTAGGCGTGGGACCGTTTTCAACTTATACCTCGCTTTGGAATAGTCAAGGTTTTAAAACTGCTAATTATTTCTGCTACTGTTCCTAAGATTTTTCTATTTACATTTTTTATGTGTTGCTTTTAGGACAGCGGTATCTCCAGCAGAAAACTTATTCAAAGACGCTATTTTAAATGGCAAAGAAATCTGTGTTTGAAGCATTATTTATCCGGTCATGTGTATCTGCGGGGTCTGAAAACGTCTCATCCTCTTAAGGCCCAAGCTGTTTTTCTACATGTATTTTTTATTTCGCTTTGCTATTTGGGCTGACTGGAACCTAATTAGAATAAAAACCTAAGTGTCATGTTTTGATATGGCGTACTTTAAGAGAATAATGATGTCCATATATGTGGACTCGTGGTCTGAATTCCCATAAAACACTTTCCTGACTGTTTATACATACTTTTTTGAACATGTTTTGACTATCAGAGAGTAAAAAACAACATTTTTTCTCCGATTTCGGACAGTTAAAATAGTGTTTGGGACATTTGGTATGCTGCAAAACAGTTGCAGGATGACACTGTGTGTCTGTAACAAGATATAAAACATTTAAAGTATTTTCAACAGCCACTTAAGAGCTAACATGTGCTGTCCATGCATGTGGTCACTATTCTCTAGGAAGTTAAATGGCAAAAAAATTAATAATTTTATTTCTTAAAAAGTCTTCCACTGACATATGGTGTTGTAGGCCTTAAACATGTTAAACGGGTCTTCATTTATCATGTAAAGCTATACCCAATTGGGCCAACACCCATCCAATCACTAACAATATATTTCAGGTTTTAAGAAAGATTAATTATTAACTCTGTTTATTTATTAATATGCTTTAATTATTTTCCTTACTATAACATTTGTTTTGAATGTTTTTTTTAAAGTTATAACTTGGCCATTAAAACAGCCGTGTGCAAGTCTGAAGTTTCATTCATTATGCTCTTAAAATGGTCTTAAATTTGACCAAAATATTTTAAATGTTGCCCAAAATAGATTATATTGTGTTCAAAGTGAAAAATAAATGTAGTTTTTACCCAGACATTTAAAGAGAACAGACTTTAAAACAGTAAACCCAATACTGTGATATTTTTATCTAAGGTTATCACACCGTCAGAATCTTATACCGACCCATGCCTACTCCAGACACTCGAGTGACATAACCCAATACTCAAACTCGCTCCACACTCTCTGTAGCATCTTACGCCCCGTTCACACATCTTCAACCCTTCCTATTCACTTTGAACGGGTGACGTCAGGCATTGCCGAACTGCATTGTGGATCCGTCGGCGCCGCTTCAGAGGCGTTGCTTGCTACAGAAGTTGGGACCAGCTCAACTTTTCAAGCGCCGACGGAAGCGTCATCCAATCAGATCGCTGTATGCAAATACACCAGCTAGACCGTGGCCTATTGCTGACTGAATTTCATTGGCTGACGCTTCTATGGCGATCGCTTCAGCCCCAACTTAAGACACGCCTTCAATCAAGCGTGTGAATGGGGCGTCAGGCGTAACAGTTTGGATGGCTGCAGTTATTCCTTCTCTTAGTTCCTCAATGTCGAACTTCAGAGCTTCCTGAAATTGTCAACAGAAAGAGCTCAGCTCTCCTTTTCTCCGATGCAGAGTTCTCGATTTTGAAAGTTGTGGTATTCTCCTTGAATCGCCTTGTATATCAAGAGAGCAGATTGACATTAGTGTAATAGAATCAACCACCGCCAGGGGTTGCAGGTGGACTGCTTTACTTTATACCACCTCTAATTATTCATAATTATTGACATGGATATGTTACAGGTTGAGAGGGGCCTGGATGCAGACCTGGTGACCCTTACCTGAGTCCATGATAAAAGGATTCCTCATTTGTTCCCCCGAGAGAAGCTTGCGTTGTTGACTTGGGCTGCCTGATCGCTCTCCTCCAGCACGATTGTATTTGGTTGTTTAGATTATTTATTTTGCATTTGATCTTGTTTACTTTAATTACTTTAATAAGTTTACTTCTTTTAAATTATTCGATTGGTGGGGTGGACTCTTGATTATGCTGCAGAACAGGCCAACCCTGTTCCTGGAGAGCCACCTTCCTGCAGATTTCAGTTGCTACCCATATCAAACACACCTGAACCAATTAATTAGGACCTGAACACCATGTGATAATTACAGGCAGGTGTGTTTGATATGGGTTGCAACTGAAATCTGCAGGAGGGTGGCTCTCCAGGAACAGGGTCGGCCACCGCTGGTCTAGAGCCGGACAGTTCCTTTCACATTTTCATCTTGGAGTTGATTTGTACTCAAATAACTGTAGCCATCGTCTTAATATGTGACAAAGACAAGATTGGAGGCTGATCATCAATTGTTTTTGTTGTGTGTTCATCTCTTAAATAGGTCACTATTATAAAGATGGCGTTTATTAAACAGGAGAGCGAAGACATCAGGATTGCAGACGTGTTCACACTGAAACAGGAAGATCCTGAGAGGACTGAAGACACATTCAGAGTCAAACATGAGGATCCTGAGCAGCTAACAGGTTAACTTCCATTCTCAAAATCTCAGATCTACTCTAATGAAGGATGTTGTTGGAGAATGTCATATGATGAGCGCCTCGTTACAGTGATTGTACTGCACATGGAGACCAGGGGCGTTGCTAGGGTCGAAGGGGCCCCGCTAAAATACCCCAATTTTCAAAAGGTGATCTACTCCAATCTTAATAATAGGATTATAAATGGTTTTATAATAAATAAAGGGTGTTTGAGTTAACAGTCTTTTTTTTTTTTTTTTTACGTTTATTTATGTGCTTTTTGCTGCAACAAAATACAGGAAAAAAAAGCAATTCAATACACTACAATATAATATAATGCATATAAAATACTATATATATATATATATATATATATATATATATATATATATATATATATATATATATATATATAAAATAATAAATAAATAAATAAACAATCTCTGACAGAACAACCGAACGACAGAACACAGAGGGAGAAATGCACATGAACGCAAAATATAATTTAGCTGGTCAGGTTAATGCATAAATAAAAGCAATTATAAAGTAACATTGTTGTATCACCAAAAAAAAGGCATTATCCTGACTACAGTGTTATTGTCAAATAACAGTTTGGGCACATTATTAAGAATATTATAGATTATGAATTGTGAATATCAGTTAAACTCAGTCTTTAATCACTGTGTTATTGAAAGGGGTTATTGGTTAGCTTGTGTTTCTTCCAATGCATTAAGGTGTTCTAATATCTGTCCCCATGTTTTATCAAACATCCGCAATTTGTCATTATTGATATATCTCAACCTCTCCAATGCATGTTTATGATATCTCTACCCCACATACCAAATTTAGGCAAAGATTCAGTTTTCCACACTCTCGAAATCACCTTTTTGGCAATTACCGTACCAAATAACATGGCTTGTCTTTCATATTTATTAAACATCTCTAAATTACTAAATATCCCAAGAACAGCTATAAGTAGACATGGTTCAGGATGAGTTGACAGTCTTTTAACAATTATTTGTAAAGCTTTGTGACTTGTAACACCAAAAAGGAAAACACAATGATAAATGAACCCACTTCTCTTTGTCAACACCTCTTGAGCCTCCTATCTCCTGATTGGCAGTTTCCGTTTGTTTATTGAACATGTAATTTTCTGCATGTCTTCAAATCTGAATATATGATTTATTTTATAGTGTGAGTTGTTATCCAATGTGATACACAGCTACCAACATGTTCATTTGGACAGAATGATTAATTAAGGGTGTGGTGTCATCAAGATACTGGAATTCCTAAATTCAACACCTTGCAAAATGTTGATATTCATTCATTCATTCATTTTCTTGTCAGCTTAGTCCCTTTATTAATCCGGGGTCACCACAGCGGAATGAACCGCCAACTCATCCAGCAAGTTTTTACGCAGCGGATGCCCTTCCAGCCGCAACCCATCTCTGGGAAATGTTGATATTCAATAGGCTACTATTTTTATATAATAACAATTGTATCAAAAATAATACATAAAATACAGATCTGTATCACCGATTATCAACTGGCGGCCCGCTGAGCCATTCAATCCGGGATTTTAAAATTGTGAAAATCAAAAACAGAATAGCGGTCCACACTATTAAAGCGACTAAAAATAACAACAACAACTTGTCAGAATAACCCCCCTTTATGACTGTATTTATGCTACACTCCGAAATGAGGACAGACTCAAACAGACTATGCTGTCTTAAGCATTTATTTTTCAAACAGGTTAAAAAAAAAAAACGTATTCC